AGTTCTCTTCCACTGAGCTACAACCCCAACCCTCAATATGCCATTCATATGGATGGGAAGGATTAATATCAAATTATTTCAGTTCTCCCCAAATTAAATAAATGTAACATAAGCTACAATTTCAATACTTTTGCACATCCTAGAACAAAGGGCCAAGGATAACCATCAATTCCTGAAGAGGACAAAACAGGTCAGAGGGAAGCCTTTCCTTACTAGCTATCATCAGTTTATTATAATTTAAATTATTTAAAAGACTATGGCTTAAGCACTGAGATAGACAAAATGACCAGGGAAACAGATCAACAAGCCCCAAAATAGAACCATACAGAAACAGAAACTTGACATATGACAGAGGTAGCATTCAATCAGAGAGAAAAAAAATGGAAAATGCAGTCAATGTTGGGTTGGTAATTGGTTATCCAAGTGGAGAAAATAATTTTAAATTAGATCCTACTTTATTCCATACACAAACAACTAGATAAAAAAGCTAATATAACAAGCAAAATTTTAAATATATTTTGGAAGAAAATATAAGCAATGACTTTACAACCACCAATTAGGGAGGAAATTCTTCAGATATGAAAAGCAAAAATCAGCCAGGCATGGTAGTGTACTCCTGTGGTTCAAGCAATGTGGGAGAATGAGGCAGGAGTATTCCAAATTTGAAACCAGCTTCAGCATTTTAACGTGGCCCTGACACAAAATAAAAAATAAAAAGGACTGGGGATGTAGCTCAGTAGTAAAGTATCCCTCAGTAGTAAAGTATCAGTACCAGGGGGCAAAATGTGAGTAATGTTAAGCTTCAAAAAAGACCTTTCCTTATTAGGTCTTAATAAGTAGTAAAATTCCTAATTAAATACTAAGATTTTAATAATACATAATCCAAAATAAAAAAAATTGTCCTCACTGTAAAATATATTTCAGTTTTAAATATGTGTCCATATTGTAAATAAATAAAGAGCCATCTCTAGACATAAATTATAAATGTCCTGATTGCCAGTTTAAAAATATAAAATATAAATAAAAACACTTGTGGGTAAAGTTTGAAAAGGAACATTAAAAAGAAAGAAAAAAAGCAAAGAAGGAAGAAAGAGGTAAGAAAGAAAGGAGGAAAAAAATAAATTTTAAAGTTAGAAAGATTTTGAGTGAAATTTCTTTTAATTTTTAATTTTTATTTTTATTAGCTGTAGATGAACACAATACGTATAAAGGTATTTATTTATTTATTTTTATGTGGTGCTGAAGATCAAACCCAGTGCCTCATGCATGCTGGGCAAGTGCTCTACCACTGAGCTACAATCCCAGCCCTGAAATTTTTATTTTTTAAATCTGACTTAATGACTGGGCTGGGGTTGTGGCTCAGTGACAGAGCACTTGCCTAGCATGTGTGAGGCACTGGGTTTGATTCTCAGCACTGCATACAAATAAATAAAATATAAAGGTCCATCAACAACTAAAAAAAATTTTTAAAAATCTGACTTAATGACTAAAAAAAGTTTAAAATAAATGTATTATATATTTCCTGAAAAGTTTTTACAATAGAGATAATATAGCGCACAGATTTTAACAAAAAAGTGCTCTAGAAATGCAAAGTGAGAACTAGTGAAGTCCTTTTATGTCTTCCTCTGAGTTTCCTTTTGTTAAATGATCAGATTAAACAAACAGGCACATGACAAAATGACTTGGGTCAAATCACTATCACCACCCAGTTTCTGAGGGTAATGACTGTCAAAAGTCACCAGGGAGTGATCCATTGCTATCCCTTTAATTAAGGTGGGGCTTTTATAACTCAGTTGTTCCATTTGTGACTCAGATCAATCAAATGAAATTCACCTTTTACGTGGCCTGAATCCTGATAGCCTTGCACACTTGATAGGTAATTTAATCATGCCTGGTGTAGATGAACACAAACTCAAATTAGCTACTGAAAGAGTTGGGCTTCTCAAAGATAGCTGTGCTTTTCCACTTTTATGCAAGAGCTGAGCTTCACCAACTGGCTAGCTGGAGGTGTTATTAAAAATTTAGTGAAAGAAACAAAGGTGTGCTCTGGTGTCTCTTGTTACCTTTCTACTGTTACTCCGGCAGACAAAAGGCATAGAGCCTACCTCATGAATAATGTGACATGGAATATTCACAATCTATTTTTAATGGAGTCAAGTAATAACATTAAGACAGACATTTGCAATCTTCAAATTTCACACGGGCAAAAGGCACAGTAATTTGTTTTGATTCTGAACTGGCAATATAAAGATAAATTAATTTCCCCAAAAAAGCCATACAGTTAATCAAAATTAGAATTCCTTATTTATAGCATAAATAGGGAAAATGAAAATGGACCAAGAATTCTAAATGTCATCAGAGAAGAGTGGGAGAGGGTAGACACCTAGATTTCAATCAGTTCTACTTAACCCTCAGTGCAATGTCATACTCTTCAAACCAGGTTGAAAATACTCAACCAGTGTGCATGGTGACTTTTGTGGGAAGGATGTTTTGTCATCCTATTCATTGAGAGCTTTGCCTCCCAGGATGTACTGTAACTGTTCATCTCTTCATCACCTATCAGTTCTTCCCCCACCCCCTTGGTACCAAGGATTGAACCCAGGGGCACTTAATCACTGAGCCACATCCCCAGTCCTTTTTTTTTTTATTTTGAGATAGAGTCTTGTTAAGTTGCTTAGGGCCTCACTAAGTGACTGAGGCTGGCTTGGAACTTGTAATCCTTCTGCCTCAGCCTCCCCAGCCACTGGGATTACAGGTATGTGCCACCATCCCTGGCCATCACCTATCAGTTCTGAAAAATTATTATAATCTGTGTTACATAGTAAACAAATTTAAATTTTAAACAAAGTAAAGTACTGTGCAAAGGCCTGGTGTTGGGAAACCAAAGGAGGACAGCCAAGGAACAAGATTTGGAGAGACGGGAGAAAAGCAGCTATCAAAGTCCTGCTGACCTACCAACACAGAATGCCAGTGTGTCTTATTTGTTTTCTTGGTGCTCAACCAATTTCTCTTCCCTTTAAGCTACTGAGAGAACAGCCAGCCTACAGGATCATCTACTGTGTGCCAGGCACTGTTCTGGGGGCTGAAAGTTCAGCAGTAATCAAATAAAGCTCCACAGGACATCGTCCTTATAGCTGTATCCCCACCACCTAGAACACTGCCAGGCATACCAGGGTACTTAATCAATATGTATAGAGTAGATTTGAATGGAAATGGGCAATCTGCAGGTAGTCACCAGAGCCATGCAAGCCCTGAATGTCTGGCTGGGAGGTGTTAGAACCCAGGTAGTAGGGATTTAGTTCAGAATTGTATTCATTCTCTTAAAGGATCCACAGGTGGATAGAGCTACAAACCTGGATCCCCACTGTACTACAACTCATGCATCTTTAAGCTTGGAATTTGCCTTCAGCTTGGCATTTGCTAACCACTCATTTTTTTTCTCTTCTCCAGTTTCCACAGAATCAAAGTAGTCAGAGTTGGATTGGGATGATGGAACCATATCCAGATTTTATAGTCAAGAAAACTAGTATCAGGGAAGTCAAAGAATTTGTCTGAGTCACATGATGTGTCTGTGCTAGAACCTCAACTAAGATTCAGACCTCCAGACCAAAGGCTTGTGATTTCTTTATTCATCTAGGAACCTTTTGACCCACTAAAAAATTAATAATACATTTAAATTCTCAGAGGAAAGCTTATGTACCTGTGGGACCACTGGAACTCTACAAGGTAGGATCTTAGTTTTATATACCTCCCAATCTTTCTGATAAGAATGAAGGGGCTGGGATGTGGCTCAGTGTTAGGGCACACATGAGGCAACAGTTTTGATATTTAGCACACACACACACAAAAAAAAAATCAAGAAGGAAGTATCTGGGGGAGGGGAATACACACACACACACACGCACACACACACACACACACATCAAAGCAATAGGATTTTACTCTTTGTACATTGATTTCTCCTTCACTTTTATACTCCACTGTAGTTTCCTTTGGTGCCAGTTTCCCTCACAGAAAAAAGCAAAAGTCTTTCTCAAATTCCCTGCCTAAATAAAAGGCAATCTGGTAATAGTCTTAATCTTTTATTAACTTAATACATCACTCTAATAAATATGTAATAACAAACATAATGCACTCCCAAAGATCTAAAATCATTTACAAACTTCATCAAAGTAAAAATATCGCCTTTCCCCCCATATGGTACACGTGGAAGGCCAAAGAGCTGAAGACAGAGGGCCTTCCACCCTATGTGCCTACAAGCTCAGACATCTTAAAAATATCAGCTTAACAATAAAAACTGAGTATACCCATGAATCTTTGAAATAACTCTTCAGCTACTTTTTATACTTGATAAAAATCCAAAAGGATCAAAAAGGAAGGTTCAAGATTCTGTGTTCTCGTCTCAGCATTCCCTTGGAAGGGAAAAAAGCACAGACCCCAGCCACCTGGAGGTACAAATGTTAGCTTTTGCGGGGCAGAGGCAGGAGCTATGATTTTAATCTCTGGCTCTTTAGTACCTAGCATAGTAACTGGTACCTTGGTAACCAAAGGTTAATAAATATTTGCTGAATGAATAAATGACATCTTGTTCACTGCTTCATGTTTTTAACCTCTGATGAGGTCTTCACAGGCCTCCTGCAGAAAGGACCTCTGATCCTCCTCTCATCACCAAGTGTATTTTTCTGTTTCTTCCTGGGGCAGGCTTGATGGTGCATCTGGTGATTTCAAAAGAATTAAGATCCTTCCCCAAATCAGTTTCTGAACCACTCTTCAAGAAGGAGAAATGATTCCTCTGAGATTTACAGGCAGCACCCAACAAAAAGGGGTCAACAAACTTTCCAGAAGGAAACAAAACAACAACAACAAAACACTCACTCCTCTTTCTAGCTAAAGCTATAGCATGTGTCCACTTGTAAATGGGGGCTCCTTCTCTTCCACATAAGTATCTAGGGGAATTCAGGAAGAGAGACAACACCTGAAGAAATTTCTTGTCTGTGGAACAGGGTAGAAATGAGAAGAACTGTGGAGTCCAAGATTTTATCTGATCCCCACTTGACTTCACATCTTCAGGTGTAGAGTAGCCTAAAGTCCAGCGAGTTGCTGTGGTTCCCACTCGGCAAAGAACTTTAAAAAGGTAACTTGTTCCCTCTGGCAGCTACAGAAAGTAAGGTGAAGGGGATTCACCTTGGTGGGATCTGCAGACTGGACTGGGGAGCCTGAGAAATTAGAGAGGCTAGAGGCAAGCAGGGAAGCCATCCTCCGTAGTGTCGTGTCGTGTAGCTGCTGCTTGCAGCCAGTGAGGGTGCTCATTTGAGCCCATGCTGTGTCTCTCGGTGCCTCCGGAGATCCACCTTCCTCTGGAAGCCCTTCCCACACAGGTCACAACCAAAGGGTTTGAAGCCTGTGTGTTTGCGGCTGTGGGTGATGAGGTTGGAGCTCTGGCTGAATGCCTTGCCACACACCTGGCACTTGTGGGGCTTCTCACCTGCGGGAATGGAAGGGGGAGGGGAGAAAGTATGAGTTTATGACAAAGCTAGAGGAGATCCACTGTGACCCACATGCTCTTGGCAGCAGCTGGCTGCACCACAGTCTAAGACCTTGAAGCAACTCAAAGAGGGATGTGTTGCAACATGAACTGACTCCCAGCCTGCAATGTGGTCCCGGGAAGTCATGGGTACACCAGGTGGAAGGGAGACTTTCTGAGTGGGGGTTCCCAGCCAGAGGCCTCAAACCGTTTCCTGCTAAACGGAAACAGAGCAAAGGCCACGTGCCCTCCCCAGCTGAATCCACCTCGGAGGACTCCCCTGACTTTTAGAAGCAGAGAGCACCCAGAACAGATGTTCAACAGGAGGTGGGAGGAGCTGTCCTACAAACCGTGTGACTTGGCTCTAATTCAGAGGAAGTTTTCAAATCTGAGTTTCCAAGTGGGTGTTGGTTTTGTATACCAGAGAGCCTGTCTTCTTTCTTGATCTTGAAGGACCACAGAATGTATCTGAGGCATAGACATTTCTCAAAGTCTTATTTTAAAAGTCCACATTTGAGCTACAAGGTATTTATTTTCTTTTCTTCTCATTTCTTCCAGTACTGGCTATTGAACTGAGGGGTACTTTGCCACTGAAATATATCCCCAATCCTTTCTACTTTTATTTTGAGACAGGGTCTCACTACGTTGCTAAGGCTGGCCTTAAACTTGTGATTCTCCAACCTCAGTGTTCCAAGTCACTGGGATTATAGGCATGTGCCACCATGCCCAGCCACAAAGTATTTCTTAAAGTAGCTAGTCTTTTTCTGCCTGGATTTTACTTTCTTTTTATGAGACTAATCATAGTATTCTACTGTATTCTATTCTGTTTGGTACTGAGGATTGAATGCAGGGGTGCTTAACCACGGAGCCCTTTAAAAATTTTTTTAAAATTTTTTTATTTTTGAGACAGGTTCTCGGTAAACTGCTTAGAGCCTCACTACATTGCTGAGGCTGGCCTTGAACTTGCAATTTTCCTGTCTCAGCCTCCCAAGTAGCTGAAATTATAGGCACATGTCACCATGCCTGGGAAGAGTCTTTATATGACAGTAACTCTTTACCAACGATTAATAAATTACTAGACATGAAAAGGTTTTGTCTTTTCCCCGTCTCATGTACTATGTGACATTTAGGTAAATGTCATCTATTTTCAAATAGCCCCAGCATAGCATTAATAGTATTGGGGCTAAAAATGCAAACAGATAAAGTTTGATTTTGAGGAACCTTCTTTCCCTCTTGCTATGCTCTCTTCTCTCTTCATGCTTCAGATTTCTTGGATAAGAAATCACCCATCAAAAGTTATCCTATCTCTTTAGGCTCAAACAAATCTGAGAAACCAATTCTAGCTATAATGTAAATGTTGATAAAGATTTCATGTTTCATTCAGTCAAGATCCTAGTTGCATTTTGATGAGTGTCTTAAATACCTTTACTTATAAAGGAGTGAATTCTATGGAAATTTCAGGCAAATGGGTATGATTAAAGTAAGATTTTTTTCTGAGATTTTGGATAGGAATATCTACACTGTCCAAGAATATTCATAAATATCAACAGTAGCTATTTGGAACACAGTGCCATTTGTTTTAAATGAATATTCATATTCTGCAATAACACTGTCAAAAATTCCAGGTCTAATGTAAATGTCTTGGTGAATTAAAAGAAACATTCCTGGAGCTGTGAATGTGGCTCAGTGGTAGAGTGCTTGCCTAGCATGCATGAGGCTGAGGGGTTCCATTCCCATCACCACAAAAAGAAAAAAAATAATGTGTTCCTGGAGGTGAACCCATGAGCTGCTGGCATTAAAACCTTCATCTGGCCAGGCACAGTGGCATACACATGTAATTCCAGTTATTCAGGAGGCTGAGGCAGGAGCACCTCAAGCTTGAAGCTAGCCTCAGCAACTTAGCAAGGCCCTGTTTAAAAAAAAAAAAAAAAAAAAAAAAAACAGGGCCAGAGTTATAGCTCAGGGAAAAATTCAGGATTGGCAGTCAAAATGTTCTGTAGTCTGATATTGGGTATCATTCAATGTTTCTGAGTTTCTGGATGGTAAGAGCAGCTTTTTCTACTTTATAGGGTGACAGGAAGTATCAAATGAAATGACAGATTTGAAAACACTGAGTAAATTATAAAACACTACAACAGGTAAGAAATTATCATTACTAAGGCATAAAATTGCTGATTTTGTGAAAACAGCCATACGTGAAGAGAAGCTTTCTGTGTCTACCAATCCTCATGACTTTGAAAACAGAATAAGATAAACAGGACAAGAGCATAGATATTTGAGAGGTCACATAGGCCTGAACTTGAGCTCTGGCCCCCTACTTGCTAGCGTGACCTTGAGCAGTTTACTTAATCCCTCTGTGCCTCCTTTCCTCATTTCTAAAATGGGGATAAGGAATAGTTTCTATCTCCTGAAGTTGTTGTGAGAATAAGATGAGATAATGCAGTTTAACAGAGCTTAGTAATATTGCCATTGTTTTTTCCTCCTCAAGTAGAATAAGCTCTTGACTCCTAAAAATACAGTAGAAAGGCAACACATGAGTCCCTCCCAAAAAAGCCTCTGTGGGAGCCCTACAGAAAGTCTTCAATCTCTGGGTAAACATTTAGAGCAAAACTCTGAGAGGTCTCTGGGGCTTCATATTTCACCCAGAGCAGGAAGCAGTTGGAGCAGCTGCTAAACTAGAAAAAAAAAAGAAAGGAAAAAAAAAAAACCCTACTCTTTCCAAGGATGGAGAACCTGCAATCTGACCTGCTGGTCCTTGAGACACAATCCCAGATCAAGTCCCCTCTGGGAAGAATCACATCTGTGAATGAACCTAGAAGAATCTGTCTCTTTGTTTTCTTTAACATGCAGTGATTAGCTCCATCCAGAAAACCTCATCCACCTCTCACTGGGGCTAGAATATCAGAGAAGGTGAGTTATATTGGCCTCTGGGTATCTTCAGCTCACCAGTGTGGATGAAGGTGTGTTTCTTCATATCTGACTTCTGGTGGAACCTCTTGCCACAGTACTGACAGGGGTAAGGCCGAGTGTCTGAGTGAATAAGCAGGTGTGTGGACAGTGTAGATGATCTCTTGAAGCTCTTGCCACAGATCTTACAGTCAAAGCTGCGCTCCTGCAGAGAGAGAGATGCAGCACTCCTACTGCAAACACCTAGGCTGCTACCTCCTCACCATTAACCTGACCCTAAAAACTCCAAAGCCAGGGTTCTCCTTCTACATTATCCTCCCTTCCTCCCTTTACTTCCAGTCCCCCTATTCTCCATACTTCTCCTTTAACACCCACCCCTTAACATTTTTATTTCTGTCAAAACACTTTTCACCCACAACCCTCCAAATCTCATGGCAAAAACTATCCCCACCCTGCATTTTTGACACCCATTTATACACATTTCTCCACCCTCTTCAACTGGAGGCTTAAACCTCAATCACTTGAGATGCCTCCACCCCTCAGCCATTGTGGGTGTTGGAGGAGACAGGCTGATACTCTAAGTTAACAAATCTTTGTAAATAAGATTTCTGTCATAGCCATTTGTGTACTTATTTCCTTATCTACCCTCTGTCTTTCAACTAAACTGTACTCTCCGTGGGGCATCCTATCAAGGAGCTGGTGTGCTATATAGAATTCTGAAGTACTAGTCACCTGGAAGTTAGGCATCAAATAGTTATAAACGAACAAATGCAAGAACAGCCTGGAAAATGTGCTAGTAGATGCTCTAAATGAGCCGACGTACCACCTTTTTCAGTTAGGAGGGGCTAATGCAAATTAAGTGACAACCATTTGGCAGGGGGAAAAAATCCGGACAAAGAAACAGAGCTAATGTATCAGCAGCAAGTCTCAGTGCATCCAAACCTTCCTCAAACCCAAAGGAATGTTTAGGATCACACCCCGAAGGCTCACAATGATGTGACGTCCAAATGCAAGACTGCTTCAAGGCCTGAGTCTGCTACCACCTACCTTTCCCAATACACCTACATCGGGGCAAGAGGACCTGACCGAGGGACTGGAGGAGGAGACTGGGAAGCAGTGGGGCCAAAATCACCTTGCTGAGAGCGTCTGGTGCCGCACAGAGGACGAACAAAAGATCTCAAGTTCGAAGACCTGAGCAGGGCTGCGCGTGCGGCAGTCAGTATGCCCTGCGCTTACCTGCGAGTGTACGGCTTTGTGCTGCTCCAGGCTCACCGCGTGCCCGAAGGTCTTGCCGCACATCTCGCAGGCAAAGGGTCTGGTGCCGCTGTGGGACCTGCGCACGTGGACCTCGAGCCCGTGCGGCGTGGAGAACACCTGAGACGGGTGGGGCCGGGGAGAAGGCCGCTGAGAGGGGCCGCCGGGAGCGGGCAGTGGCGGGACGCGGGCCGGGGACGCTGGCACCGGGCTGCCAAGGCTGGGCGCGCAGGAATCTCACCTTGCTGCACTTGATACACTTGTAGGAGCCGCCGCCCAGCAGAAGGCGGGTGCACAGCAACTCAGATTCCACCTTGACACCAGCACCCTTTTCCGCGTGTAGCTCGTGGCCGCGATCCGGGTACAGCCGGCCAGCCGCTGCCGTCGACCGCTCATACAGCCCTGCCGCAGCAGATCCAAAGTCGCCATAGAGCCCCAGGCCCACGCCACCGCCAGCGCCACCTCCTGTGCTGCAACTTCCTGGGGCTCCAGCCCCCGCGCCGCCTGCAGCCCTCTCTGGGCCGTAGAGCGCGGCCGGGTGGCCAGGCTCCGGTGTGCGCTCGCAGAAGAGACCGAGGCCGGGGCCGCGTTCCAGAGCTGTACAAGGCCGGTAGCTCTGCACCAGGTGCCGTAGGTCAGAACCCGTCAGGCCACTCCATGAGTACGGCTTGAAAGGCAGAGGGAAGGGTTGGGCTTCGTCCAGCGACTGACACATGGATTTCTCTGACGCTGTAGAGCACAGGAGGGTGTCAGGTCAGATTTAAGCAGGGCGGAGCCGGGTGCACCAAGCATTACCAGGCGCCCAACATTTGTAGAACAGTGCGTGTGCGGGTGCCACGCAAAGTTCCAGGGGCGCTCCGGGGTAAAACATAGCCAGGACACTGGGGCTTCGCGAGTCAGTGGCAGGGTAGCAAACTGAAGGTTAAAATGACAGCAGATATAGAGAAAGGTAAATTCTGTTGGAGGGCCTCGGAAGTCCTCGCCGTTGGCGGGATCCGAGCACCTGGAGGTCCCATAAAGGACAAGGCGCGTCTAGGCACAAAGAGTTGAGCTGTGCGGGAGGAGAAAGCGCGCTTGTTTAGTCCCTGAACTTGGGCAGAAGGTCCAGACATCAGCGCCAACACTCTCCTAAGCCACTACATGTTCACAATCAATCGGTTTTCTTTCCCGGACCGATGGGAAGAGGACCTGGAACTACTGAAGACGCATATGTCTGAAAAGACCTCAAGGTGTTAAGATCCTCAAAGTTAAGTGCCTAGTGTAGGTAGCAAAGAAATAGCGGGAAAGGGGTGCCGAATTCTCACCAACCCTATTCCTATTATATTTTGATGGAGTGGCAGGGGGACGAATTTCTCAGAAAGAATGACTTTACAATTAAAAAGATTTAGTCAACATCTTCAGGATAAGCTTCCTGAATCCTGCTGCACCCTTCCACGTGAACTTGGCTAAAACTAGTAGATTTGTTCTCTTCCCTTCCACACCATCCCCTCTCTCTCACACACACACACTCCAGTCCAGGCTGACCAATGTAGTGAAAAGCTGCAACCTGATTTTCAGACAGAAGGGTTCTGGAGGTGCCCTGTTCTCCATGGGGGGGGGGGTGTCATACACAGCCAGAAAGACCCCTCCACTACTGGCTTTCCTCGTTGGAGCTGCAGGTCTGATCAAGTCAATTCACTGAGTGTGGGATTGGTGGACATGATCTTTTAAAACTAATAAATATAATCTGGAAACAACTCGCCTTGGCAGAATTGGGCTGGTCTGCTCCTTCCTTACTCCTACCGTCCAGGACCCGAGCCCTGCCCCCACCCAATGTGCAGTCACCCGGGTGCAGGAAACTCTACTGCTCGCTGGAAATGAAACCCAGTAGGCTGGTCCCGAGGCTGGACCATATTGGCAGAACGAAAAATGAAAGAAGCCCCCAATCTGTGCCTGTGAAGACCGAGCAGGGAGCTGAGATTTTGTTCACGACCCCTCTCTTCCACTTGGCGCCCAGCTCAGTCAGGCTGAGACTACCGGGTCTCCATTTGTTTGGGTTCCGGGATCTGGGATCATAAAATCTTTAAACAAATCAATTCTGGTCAAAAAACAAACAAACAAACAAACAAAAAACACCACAACTAAACGTTGGAGTAGCCAGTGGAGATATCTGCTTTGTTTTCTCTCACCGGTCAGCTCCACGCAAACGAATGCAAACTACCTGCAGCCAGGGTTCCAAAGCCTTAAAAGTAGACAGCGGATTCGGGGGAGTGGTGATGGGGCAAACTGTTTCAATCGCAGAACAGGCTGATGCTTCCCCCATTGGGACCCACCCCTCACGAATAAGTTCCCTCCTCAGGGTAAGACTCCGTTGCCATTTTTGCATTTCTGCGCCCAAGACCGCGCCAGTTCCCAGCTCAATGCTGGGTTTCCCGGCCCCTACCACAGAATCTCCCAACGGGTTCCTACCTGGAGACACGGAGGGTGAAGGAGGCCTCCAAAAATCCTCAAACTCCGAGCTCCGGTCGCAGACGCTGCCCTCACAGCTGCCCGGAGACGCAGAGGCTCTGTCCTGGGCCTCGATCAGTTGAGACTCAGGGGACAAACGGTCCCCGGGCTCCGCCTTCCCCTCTCCTGAACTCGAAATGCTGTCTGCGGAGAGGAATCAGGAGAGGAATTAGGCTGAGCCCGGACGAGCTTGCGGGTTCTGAAATGGTGCCCTGCAAGACGGTGGCACCCGAGCGTCCTCCTCTATCCACTCCGATCAGACCAGAAACCCTCTTGGATCCGAAAGCTGTCTCAGGAAGGTCCTGGCACCTAGACAAGCTCATGAGGAATCACAACAGTAGGAAACAAAAAAAAGACAACAAGGCGGGTATTGGGGTCGCCTCCCCGGGTTCCCAAGAAATGATGAGGCAGGGTGCAAGGTTGGTGTCCCAGGGAGTTGCCCTGCCGGGTCCCGCGCGCCTCGCACCTGTTCGGCCTGGAGCTGGTACATTCTCCAAACGGGGGGAGTAGTCTGGTCCCGGGGAGCGAGGTTGGTGGTAGCTGTGAGCCTTCTTGCTCTTTACGAGAAAAGAGCGCGGCATGGTGGCCCAACGCTTTCCCCACTCCTTTCCAAATGTTCCTATAGCCTCCGTCAGCCCACAGTCACTCCAAGTGTTCCTTCAGCCCCAGCAGAGACCTGAGTTGAAGGGAAAATCGGGTGGAAACGCGAGTCAGCACCCTCCGAGGTTCGGGACTGGGTACCGAGGCAAAGGGAGAACGCTAGCCAGGGAGGAGCAAAGAAAGCCCGTGGGAGGAGGGGCCTGGCGCACCCCCCCCCC